GCGCTGTTGTCACTACATATCCGCTTCAATTGTGGATCTTCACGCACTTGGCTCAGAGATCTTATCGGTAGCTGAGAAAACAGGATGTGCAATCATCCAGAAAAAGGTATTCCCTATATAGTAGTAGAGCAGCATAGCACAAAGCTTTACGTACATCACTCCTCGGGTGGGTTATAGGAAGTACGATGGAGTTGGTGGATAGAGTGGATTCCCTTAGCGGGAGTCCAACTTCGAGTGGATTGAGCCTAAACCTATATAACAGTGATTGGGGGTGTGAGACAAAAAACCATGCGCGCTCCATGTTCTTCACAACGACGTGATCCCGGTTCCCCTTGCCCAACTCTGACCCCTCATGCCCTCCAATTGATAATTATAACTGCTCTAAGAGAGTACCTGAATAGTGCAAAAAGAGGTTTGAATAGCAGAAAAAGAGCAGATCCCGCGCTTCCTTGAGTTGGGATGCTGTGCGGCGTCAGGAATTCAGCAAGGAATCCTTGGAAATGTGGTAATACTCACTTTCTATCGAGTGGTGGAAAGCACCGGAGAGGACAAAGAGGAGGCGACTTTTGCAAGAAGAGCGAAACCTTACATTATTCTTGATATGCTAAATGATGAGTAAGCTCCAAATCGAAACTTCCTCTTCTTCAGCATTTATTATCTGTTTTTATGAAATACAGGTATGATTTAATTCCACTCAAAGTGCAGTCAGGATGCTTCATTTCTTTGGCTGAGGGTGTATTTCCTATTACTGGGGAGAACATGCTGCTGAGAGGATGCCCACATCTTGAAAGAGGTTTTGTGGAGAGGCAGAAAGTCTGTAAGCGGCATACCGAATGAATCCGACAGCCACGCCCTCCTCAGACAGCACCACCTCTTAATGTTTGCATTGGCGGGGCAAGGGTTGCTCACTCACAGGATGCGAAATCAAAGAAAGAGAAACAATGAAAAATGTGGGAATGACATCTGCTAGCTCACCAGCTCTGATCCATCTGAACCCACCATTATTTATATTCTTCTCATACCTTCTTTTTCTTATGAAATGCAAGGATTTTTCCTAACAAGACCCTGATTTACGTATATGCATCAGCAGTGGTTTCATGAATTTCGAGACTAGTTCGAAAGCTAGAGCTGTGTTTTCAGACTTTTCTATCATGTTTGTAGGTCTGAAAGCCTAGCTCCATATGTACTTATCGAAATTGCTTTAGCTCATGTAAACAACTCGGCAATTTACGGATTGGGTGGAACTCTTCAGAAAGCCAAAACAACAATGAGTGAATAGGTTTGATCGTCTTCATCTGGGAATAAGAGGACAAATTAGTCAATTGTTTGAAGCTACGTGCCTTAACGGAATTCAGTGGAGCTTCGAGCTCTATAGCATTTCCTGGGTTGTAAAAACGAGGAAAAGGTATGACCCCAAGGCCAGTCAGTAAAAGGCCTACTCGAAATTACTACATCAGCTAATAACTTTGAGGTAGAGGGAGGGAAAGGAGAGCACCCCTTTGTTAATTGTTGCAAAAGCGCTGAGGAAACATAAAACTTAGGTTCCCTCACAACTCAAGGCAGTATATGAATATTTTCTTTTATAAAAATTTCGATTTCGTATAATCGAAACTTGGAATTCTTCCCCCATATCCTAAAAAAGTTCTTTATACACAAAAATTTTTGTATGGGCTCTTGGGATGAAGTTCATAGTTTAATAATGAATCAAATACCATATGGATACTGCCGATGTCCAGTTCGCCAAAGCAAATAAATGAATTTTCGACCGAAGGTACGGATAGCGAAAGAACAGTCTGAAGGCGAAATAGTCGAAATGAGCCATTGAGTGTGGAATCATCAGAATCAGTAAGCAGACATCACAAATCGCCAAACATGTCAGGAAAATATTTGCTCTGAAATGTTAGGTTATACCGCTTATGAATAGAATGAACACGTTCTTGTAGTAAAAATAATATTTTCCACTTTCGATATTGAAGCCTTTTAGTTTGCTGAACATCAGAATTTTTCAAAAAAAAAAGAAAAATGCATTTTCGCATACATTGGTCTAGCGCCTCCTTATAGCTACTCAATGTCACCCCGAAATCACAAGAGGTTTTTCCACTATTCGTTTTTGTCATGGTTGCGTTTTGCTATATAGTTTTCTTAGATAAACTTGTGAGGTAAGGAAAACACAACAGCTCCTCGTAGGCATAGGTCTCGGGGGTCTAGGAGATTCCCTGAATGTGCACAATATGACCCATAAACCACGCGGAGTATAATAGTTCAGTTGATGGCAAAGATTTTGTCGATTTGTTTTTGTTTATTGTTGTTTATTGTTTAATGTTTTTTCTAATGATATTTTCCAAAAAACCAAAGTCGCGTTCACCTTGACATAAGATCGTTACTGATCAGAACCATAATTGTCAATGTATTTCCGACGATACCAAAAGCACATAGCGGTGGGAAAACGACGGTGTTGAGGAAGGTTTCTAACTGGGATCCGGATAATCGTAGCTGATCGTCTGAAAAACATTTGAATGCCGGATCCATCAGCCCAAATCCTGAAAAAGTTATTTTGCAAGTATTTCGAAAAAAACATCGACTAGTAATCCAACAGACAGTACGAAATTCGAATGAAATGGGAAAATTCGAATTTGTGGAGTCAACAGCAGACGATGGTAATCCAAAAGAATTAGAAATTCAAATTCGAAGTGAATTGAACAATATCAGATCGGAAATAGTATTACAAGTGTCGTCACTACTATTAACTGGCATTAGGTTGAAAATATGTGCCAAAGAAATTCTTTTTTTCTGATTTGCTTTTGAAAAAAGATATAATTTCTATAGAAGAAGGTGGTGTAGTCAAGTAGCGCAGCACCACATACACGTGATTCGGGGATCGAATCCCAGATGGGAATCCTCCTGAGGCAACCAAGCCTTCCATCCATCCGAGATCAATTGGTACCAGACCCGTCTGAGAGGATGGAAGCACTGACTTGTACTTTGGCTGTCCACAGCAAGTCATTGTATAGGGCAAATACGCATTCAAACGCCTCTACGATTCTGAATACAAGTCGAATGGGAGGGCGCATCCCACAAGCGAGATTGGTAAATACCAAAAGATTCATTAGTCAATAAATACATCAATCCTATATTCTATTCCATATTTTTTGCATTTTTGCTTCATATTTTCTTATGTTTACTTAATTTTACTCCAGAATAATATCCTCCTAGAATCACAAGCAAAAAGAACAAGTCAAAACAAAGTTGCCATAATATCTAAGTTTTTGATAAATATCGTGTTATAGAGAAATTTAAATTTTTTTTTGAAAAAAAAAACGGCTAAAAAGATTCGAGTGATCCGCATAAGATGCATAGGCAAAAAAAGGAAATTGAGAGCGGGTGTGTGAAGGCGGAGCTCGACTAAAAGGGGCAAAGTGGATTCAGCTGAGCTCAATTTAATCAGTGCGAAGTTTAAGTTGCTGATCAAAGTTCTTGATATAAAGCCCATCGACAATGATACCCACAAACACTGCACAAGTTCGCCACCCTTCTTCCTGATATACCTGTGATAGGGACTTTATATGGCCTCTCAAGGGATATATGAGCACAGCGCCTATCCACAATCAATCGCTTCTGGGATGCGCCACACAGCTGATTTTCTGTTTAAGATCATCCAATGTGAACAGCCTGTGACCCAAGGATGATTCAGTGCTCATTTTGGCCTTTTGTTTTTGCTACTGACTCATCGAGCTTTAGAGCAAGTAGTTTCAGAGGTAGTTAATGATCAGAATGATCTTCCAATCAAGCGAAACTGTGAGCGTGAAAATCTCTGATCTGGCGGGAAGTGGTGGGTGATCCTATTCACGGTTTCAGTGATGGTAGACTACCCGAACAAGCGGAACCCACCTCTTCCTTTTGTTCAATGATTTTCTTATTCTTTGGTGAATTTCCTCTTCGATGGGGTTAATACCTTGATTGTTGTGATAGGGAATTTGTGTTAAATCAATCGGTGTAAATCAACTGCGATCACCTTATGAGTTTTTGTTTGTAGCACTAGTCCTAGGAAATCTCATAACCCCCAATGGGTGCCTTTAGGAGGTCACCCTTTTTACTGATGGCTTCTGAGGTAGTATGCAACTAAAATCCTTTTGGAATCACGTGTTTTAATTATTTACATTCGAAGTCGTCTAGCTTTGGCTGAGAAAACGAGATACCTCCTCTGGTTAGCAGACCACCTCGCACTATTTGGGCACTTTTTTTTACTTGTTTCTTCCTTATTTCACTCTTTCTTTTATTGTTAACTTGTAGTGAGTTCGGGCTGGACTGCTTGGAGAGTAATATGGAAGCAGTAGAATCACAAGTAAATGTCTCCATCTGATCGATGAGTCTCTGCGAAACTTTGCTGGAACACTTCAATAGCTCCCCCAAAGACCCCTTTTACAGCTTGAACTATGAAAACACCTCAGTCGTTCCGTGTTCCATCAACAAATTAAAAAGCCATCGAGCATCTCATGTCAACTGGCCGCTGCGTGTTTCGAGGAATTCACATTTCGGCAACAACAACACACGCGATTCTANTTGTTGTGATAGGGAATTTGTGTTAAATCAATCGGTGTTAATCAATTGCGATCATCTCATGAGTTCTTGTTTGTAGCACTGGTCCTAGGAAATCTCATAACCCCCAATGGGTGCCTTTA